ATGAATGAATGAATGAATGAGTGAATGAATGAATGAATGAATGGAGCCAATATATTAATTAAACAGATATCACTTTGGTGATTGGAATCACAATGGAAGCAACGATTTCTTGCTAAATCTATCTGATTGAATCGAATATATCTAAGAAGAATTCTTTGTAAGATAAATAATTCAGAGTAAATGGGTTCTTTTTCGCTTAAAACAAAGAAAAATTAAAAGTGACAAATTATCTGAATTATTTTCAACACAATACCTCATTAAATGTACGCATGAGCATATTGAAATAAAAACAAAACAGAAAGCTGTTCATCGAATGAATGATATGGAAAGATATACAAAAATAAGTGATAAGTGAGGAGGAATTTCAATAGAATCTTAATAAAACATTTAAAAATGATATTTAAAGAGTTTAAAAGTGACTTAAATTAGCACTTTATGTATGTTTAAGCATTAAATATCTCAATCATCCTACATACTTATTCCGTCTACAATGAAAAACGATTAACGAAGCATCGACTATTCCGATAAATGAACATTGTTTTGAATTTGTATTTAGCATTTAACAACGCGATCAAAGCTCTTTCGTAAACTATGTGCATTCCTATTTCCAGTCAGAAAAGTTTGAATTGAATCGTCAAGAAAGATAAAATTGATTCTTCTCAAGAAATCTTCATTCAATAAGCTCTATGAAATCATAAGCGCTACAGATCTCGTGATAACGTGTCGCAGGTCATGTGAGAAATTCTAGAACATGACTTACTCTTCTTTATGGCAATAATCAACTGTATATTTTAGTGCTAACATTTTGTGACCTTCTGGACAATACCAATCTCTCTCATCCATTTCCCCATTGATTTTTTTTGTGCCACACAAAAGTATAAAAATAAGCAAAGGTCAGTGATCGTCACCGAACTTTTTCTTTCCTTCCTCCATTTCTCTCGGATTTTCCAATTCCTCATCACCAACAGTTCCTTTTTTATCTGCAACAAATATAAACTTACAATCATTGATAATTTGTCGAAAAATGATAAAAACATCACAGTGATAAGTGCTAGTATGTTGGCAATACAATACTCGTTAATCAATACCATTTTTTGTAAAATTTTAAAGTCAAGTCTTCCTAAAATTTTAATGCTTATTAATTTTATTATTTTATGTAAGTAAGATTGCTAGCATAAGAGATAAATACTTTTTGCAGATTGTCCCATCGGGCTAATAACGGAATGGAATGAAGGCAGAGGATCATCCAAGGCAAGTAGCTCCTGCTTCGTGAAAACTTTTTCCATAAAAAACATCCTAATAATTACCATGAGGACCAGCTGAAACAATTCATTAATAAAAATCATAAATCTGATAATCCAAATTAACTGATGTTGTTTTGGCTAACAATGAAGATAACGGAAGCTAAATGTAAGCTAGAATCACATTTCTATAATTATGAAAAAAAATTCGTTACAAAATAAATAACGTAAATAAAAGTTTTTACCATCAACGGGAACAGCATTGAGAATGTTTTTGTATATTTCACAGCAAATAAACCAACAATACTGAGAATTTGAAAAAAAGTAAACAGATGGACACGTTTTATACGAACCAATCTTAGCCATACATAATCAGGCTATAAAAAAGTAAAAAATTTTCATTCTTAAACTTTACACTTCAATGTCCGTTAATTCATTCTTCATTTTAACTAGAACCAAATTTCTTTTCAAAAATTGAGAAACCTTCGTTGAAGAAGACTTTTTTCTCAACTTTTCCAACAAACCTGATATTTAATAGGCATAAAAAGCATTGCGATTCTTTGGATAAATTGCAAACCGAGCATCGAAACAACACCCATATATAAAAATATTCCAATAAGTACCGGAAGAGGCACTAACTGCAAATTAATCATTTGAGTAGAATTTTATCAATCATTTTTACTCATTTTATTTTTCTTCAATTAGCTCAAATAAACAAACAAACAATTTCGTATAAAATAATCGAACACAAAAAATCGTACCTTAATAACAGGTGTTATCAAAACTGAGAAACCAATAAGCAGATGAGCTATTATTGCTGTCAAACGTTGTTCTCTGCAATAATCATTTTTTTATTTTTGAAAGCTTGAATTTAAATTAATTGAAGTTTGAATGAGAATTTGAAATTCTGAGTGATGATGACTCACTTAATACCAAGAAACTGTGCCTTTTCACCGGGAGCTGATGTCTCGGACTGCAGACGAAGCGAATCCACGTGCATCACTGATAGCACTGTTCCGGCCACGTAAAACGGCAATCCAAGCGAACCGCAAATAACTATCAATGATGCAATCACCAACAAATCCAAGTGATAACCAAAATCTTTCTGAAATCTTTATGGTAATAATAATTAGCAATATCAAAGGATGATAAGCTTCAACATTTCATAATTTTGACAAGAACAACTTGATAAAACAATAAGAAAAGAACAAAATTTTAAAAGTTTCAAATAAGCTCACGATTTTTCTTGTTTTATGCATTATTACATTACTGTCTTGCTATTTTTATAAAAAATTTATACTTTCTCTGCCTTTGTGTCCATGCAAACATACGCTTATCATATGCCTTAAGCATGATCAAACAGCGCACTTTCGAGTACAAAAAGAAGAATTTTTCCTAACTAAGCTTGAGTCCACTAAAGATATGCTCCATTTGCTCATTCATTTTATCGCTGTTTCAGGGCCTTAAGCACCCATGGCAATATCCATTTTTATATGCAACGGCACGTTCCGATTAAGAACTCACACTCATTTCAGTCTAAAAAAGTAATACCCTCAGTTTATTATCTTTTCGGTTGATAATAACAGCAGTGATTTGTTGATCCATGACAATCAGAATTGTGTAAAATATAGCTGGTAATATAGCCAATAAAGCAACATACCAATCTACTGATAATGGATTGATAAGCCATGGACGGTCGATTGTTGGCTGAAACATTATTATTTATCATCGACAACATTTTTGCTGCATCCCTTTTTATTTCGTAGCTATTGTATGACGAACAAAGTAAGTTTGCAAATACACGAAATGAACAAACTCGGAAATTGGCAGGAATATTGAGCACAGGTAGTTCAAGACCTATAAATTTCGAAACAGCTGTCATCACAATAATAGCAATGAGAACACCGAAATCCGATATGCTATTGCGAACCTGAAATAAACTTTAAATGTAAAAAGCAAATCAAAATCAAAATTCATCCAAATTATTCTGAAGAAAAATGAAGAAAAAAAAACTGTTTCAAGAAAATAACGAATCTTAGAACCAAAGTTTGACCCCATACTTTTGATTATCCAAAAAAATCAAGTAAAAAAATAAGCAAAGGTGTTAGTAGATCTTTCATATGAAGGATCGCCTTTTCTTAATTTTCAAAATTTCAAAGTTTCCTCCAAAATGTACCATGGAATTTAAAAAATGTGTTCTTCTGAAAATGTTTAAGCCATAAGCCAATGCGAAAGTACCAAAGGTTAGCAGAATAGATAGCATGTAAACATCTGGTTTAAAGTGACATTGTAACCCAAACGATTCACCTCCACGTCGACTACATTCTACAATGATATGGTCAGTATTATTATTCATTTATTTATATTAATATCATTATTATGATATAATTTAGTGTTTTAGAATACTGAATTTAAATACCAGCGTGAATTCATTGCTTTAAGATTTATCTAAAATCTAAGATACTAGAAAAGAACTCAAAAACTTTAACCATCAATCTTATGACAGCAAATTCCCGATAATACAAACCTTCAGCATCGATATCCACTATTCTTGGTCGTATGGTAAAGTTATTTGAAAGAATCATTGGATTGTTGAGATAACAAACGCATGGTGAATCGAATACTTTCTGTTAAAATTATAATAAATTATATCATTTCTTTTTGGGATAAACGATAAATTCGAATGATATGTGGATTTCTTCGAAAAATCATAAATATGCGAAAAGTAAAATAATTAAAATGAACTTTGGGATCAACAATGATTGGTGCATCATGACTGATTTCAATAAGTTTTTCGAAAGATTGAATTATAAAAACAATTGATATCAATGCTGCAAATGCTTCTTCGGTAAACCTAAAATGCATTATTTTCTTGAAAATCTCCTTTTTTTCTCTCTGAAATCAAATTTTGAAAAAAGAAAAAGACCGTCTAAAGATGAATGTAAGGTAAAGCAGCATCAAATATCTGGTTGTTCCCATATCATACATTCTAAATGCAGGAAGACGGGTTTAGTGCACATTTATGATATCATGATTGCTACAAGAATATGGCATCCAACTGTAATACTATGGGATGAACTATTAACTTTTGTTAGAGACTTGTAACCAATCATTTCTACAAAACGAATACCTTTCTTGTCGTTAATTTAAAAAAAAAAAACCTGGTAATTAGACCAACAAGAGCGGACATGTCGGTTGCAACCAAAATAAGCAGTACCACACCAATCCATACACCAACCCAAAATCGAAATGGTAAAAATTCCCAACCATTTGTTCTAAACCAAAAAAAAAAAGATTTCACAATTTACAATCAAAATTTCTTGTAATTTCTAAGCAACGAAAAAATATTTGTCATTCAAGGAAAACGTTTAAGCACAAACACATACAAACAAAAATCGAACAAAATTGTTTCAAAAACGAGCGTTGGACCGGTCGCCGATAGAATATTGAGCGGTTGTCCAGAAAAGAGGGCAAATATGACCCCACTAATACCACCACATAGAATATTTTCGATAGCTGCCTAAGATTTTAAAAGTTGAAGAAATGCTTCATGCAGTTTGAATTCTACGCAATACAGCCTCATTTCACTAATATTTTTAATGATTTTTAACAATACTAAATTTCAGCTCATCCGTTCAATTTCAGTTTAAATTCACTGAGTCCTTCATTAAATTTTTTTTCTGATTTCGTTTCTTCTTATTCCGCTATATGATATTTTAAAAATACCTATTCTCATTATTCAAATCATTCAGATCATTTAGTGATTCTAAAATTAATGTAAAGAATGTTCGTACAACTTGATGATGCAGTGCTCGTTCCATCACTGCACCAAATGTGATAATCGATGTAATATTTGCGAAAAATAAAAATATAACTGCTGCAAAAGACTGACTCCATCGGCCGTGAAAGAAATCGGTGAAGTCGGATACGAAATATGGTGCTTTACGTCTAAATAGCTTCAAATTGATCATTTCAAACTCCCTGTTGAATGATTTTAAGCCAGTGATTAGTAAGATTTAAGACAAAATTAGAAAAATTCATTGTTATTTTTTATTATCTAAAATAATGATGATAATAAATTGCGTGTATAGCACAATGAATGAAGTTATTGAATAACGCCTGACTTACTTGATGTCATTACACAAACCACCAAATAAGCGACCGCTACGCACGATATCAGTGTGTATGTCCTTTTTACCATCCAGAATTGGTTCACCATCAAATGGATCATCATATGAAGCATAAAGCATTCCGACCGACCGAGCTACCTAAATTCATCATACATATGAAACTTTTAAATAGTTTCAAAATTTCGAACTCCAAAAACTCCAAACTTTAATCAAACCTGATCTGAATTAGCATTCGGTTCCCATCGTGTTTCAGTACTACAATTTCCAGGTGGTATAACAACTACTTGCGCAAAAAATTCTTCAACTGCATCAGCTATTGTATACGGTTCAAGTGAACATATCGCTACCTTCTTAAATATCTGCAAATACGAATAGGTAATAGAAAATATTGAAATTTTCATATCCTTAAAACTATTGAAAAGTTCAAAGATCGTTTCAATCTAACAAATTGCTTAAACATTCTTTAATGAATCCAAATCGTATGAATAATTACATTTCAAATTAGAGATTATCTAATCCAAATGCATTTAATACAATTTTCTAAAACTGATTCCAGCAATGTTCAGAATTATTTAACTTATCAACTGAAAATGATACCTCATCAGAAAGCAATGCACCAACAGTTCTACCAATCCCACGCGTTTCATTGTCATAATGATCATGAGGATTGAGTAAGACAAATACAAATCTTAAAGGTAGCGGCACATTCGGCATTTCCGGAAAAAAAACCTGAAATTTGCATGAACGTGAAGTAGAATGCAAAAATTCTGAATTCCCACCTTTAAAAAGAAGCTAGTGCTAATAAATCATTAATGAATTATTTACCTTAGCCTTGTCAAGTCGAAGAAATGCGCATACCGGCCTATCAATGCCGTTAAAAATTCCAGCCATAACAACCGCTCCTTCTGTGCCCTCTGTTAATTTCTTCATTTCTTTAGATGTTAACTACAAAAAAAGGAACAAAACCATTAAGTACTTTAAGAAAATTCAAAATAAAACTTCTGAATGCACGTGAATTTTTTAGCATCAATCTCTGATCGAACATTTTAGAGAAATCGAATTTTTATTCCCTCAATGGGACGGAATTCTTGATAGAAAATCGATAGTTTCTCCAACAATTTTCCCTCATAACACTTCAAGATTATCTAAAAGAAAGAATAGATTCGACTAATTCGTCATTAATATCAAAATAAAAGAACCACAACATACATCAAGAATATTTTCTTCCTGCACATCATTCTCGGCACTTTCACTCGGTAGCTTCTTCATAACACTTTTCACATCTGAATGCTAAATCATTCACCTCTTTCAGGTCAACATGACCTATTAATATTTGATGATAACAGCAGTAATTTGCGATCTTTATTACAATGAACAATTCGAACCATTTCTGATTTCAGTGGATGGAAGCATACGTGTACCAATAAGATGATATTTCGGACATAGCAATATATCTTTTACAATTGCTGAATTTTCTGCTTCCACTAATCCACGTTCCACCCATGCAGCGCATATTTTATCGGAAAAATGAGATTTAACAGATTAATGATATTTAAAGATGAAAGGGAAGAAATTCAAATTCAGTTGGTACTTTAATATCTCATTATTTTTACAGTCATTTATATCAAATTATTTTTATTTCTGGAAATTTAATTAATATTAGATATTTATTGATTATTGGAATATGACAGAATTATTAGAGTTCAAATTGATCGGTAATTAATACCTGCAACTTCGTTAAATGAATGTGCTTCAACGTCCAACATAATGACTCCTTTACGAAGACAATTCTTGAGTTGTATCAAACCAATTATGGATAGAAGCGTGATGTGTGGTTTGGAAAATCGTGTACCGTCACCTTCAATTGTTTGTTCATACTTGATCCATCTAAAAGTGATTACAGTTTGTATGCATTCCAATATTTTAAATTAGAACGTAAATTATTTGTTGGACTTGTCGATATATTTCGAATAAGTTATTATAACTATAAATGGTAATGAATGGTTGTTTATGAAGATAGAAGGTATGAAGTGATTGCTAATTAATAGGTACCATTGATCAGACCTTGTCGAAATAATTTATTTTAAAAAGAAAATGAGTAAAATTCAATTTTCAAAAGCATCTTAACCTGGCTACTTGTTTCCATTGTTTTCTGGCATTATCATCCTTATTCAAATCCAACATTTCGGTATAAATTAACGGAGTTTCCCCTAAATGTGCTTCCAAAAGCTCCCGAACATTATGTATAGGACCTGAAAATAATTATAGTTCATTAAAATTGTTTAAATTTTTATAAATAAAGAAAATTGTAAGTAAAGGATGGAAAAATTTTATAACTTCAACCGTTTTCATTAGAAATACAAAGGATTAATTTGTGCTCGTGAAAAGAACAATATTATTACTTCTTCTTTATATAATTATGCTACTCAAAAAGGCATTTCATAATAAACTTCTTCAGGTGGGAAAGAAGACTTACTCTCGGGATGATTTCCCACTTGCAGAGGTTGAACAGTGTAAAGAGGATCGAGCAACAAATCATCTGCAAAAAAAGCATATTTGGAAAAATGAAGAGTACTGTTATCATATAATCATTAGACTGGAGAAATGCTCGTTATCATAACAAAACTGAGCTTTTAATTTAAATACATCCTTGAAGTAAATCAGTCTTTTGTTCAGTGCCCTGTTGAGCTATTGAAATAAAGGTGAGTGAAACTAATCCAGTAATATTGAACGATAATGCTTATTTTTACTTTATATAAAAAGTTATCGAATAATTTGAAATAAATGAAGAAACTGTAAATAAATGGATAATCATTAAATGGAAAACTAAATATAATGAATAGGGTGTTTAGTTAGCAAACAAATTCAATCAATAAAAAAGACAAAAAATATATGATCAACTTAACACTTACGCCCTCCAAAAACAGAAGGTCTCGGATACATTTCCGTAATACTCTTCCGACGCATTAAACTGGATTGACTGTCAGTCCGGCTACGAATGTCCGGTTGACTGCTACGACGCTTTGTCATTGCTTTTGTTTTTGATATTATTGTTTTTGCTGGTGTTACTGCTCCTTGATGACCCTAAATTCTGTTAGGCTTCCATTTTAATAAAAAATGTTTTGCTACTAAATATTACATATAAAAGATAAAAGCATTAGATTTTTAATTAATTCTATTTTAAAAATGCTATCATGATATATTTTATATTATGACTTTATAATAATATATTTTAAATGCTATCACACCATTGCATTCAATAATTTCTGTAATCATCATATGAATATGACCATAATAATCTTTTTATTTCTCATTAATATTTCTCCCAATATTATTTTTCCTTATCTCTCTTTTCATATGGTCGTTTGCAAGTGACAACATTATCAAAGTTAAATTAATTAAAATTTTAATAGATTTCTAAAAAGGCCATGAACAAATTTTTTCTAAAACACCATCTTAATTTTTGTGTAATAATAATATAAACAGATTGTTTGAAAAGATGGAAGCATCATCACTGAGTGAAACTTTTATCATCGTTACAGTTCTATTCTTACGATTAAATCTGCTTTTTCCATTCATTGAATAATTTATGCTTTAATCTGAATTCAGTTCAAACTATATTGTGTACTGTAATAAAAAATATTACTATTGAAAAGCACAAAGAGAATGGTTATTCTTTTTTCTGATCTTTTATCTAATTTCCACTGTGTATAATTTTTTTTTCAAATCACGAAATACAATTTATTTTAACCAATGATTCAATGCAATGTTGTATTATTTGATCAATTATTAGATAAAGAAGAAGTGATTGATAAGAGCACTTTACAAGCGGTATTTTTCTTTGGTGGGAAAAGATGCAACTGATAACATCAACTACAAAATGTAAGATTTTTTTTCGACGAAAAAAGTTTAAATCGTTGCACGAAATAGATGTTTTTGCAGAATGATTGAATAAAAATATAGAAATGAAATGAAATTAAATAAGGATTGTTTTTATGGACTGATAAGCAATCTTAGTTGGTGGTTTAATGTAAGAAGTGCAATGATTTTTATTCATATCAGTATTCTATTCCATTTTTATTACATATCATTGAAGAAGCAAGAACTAAAATTGTTATTAAATAAACAATTATTAGTGCCTTTGTAATTAAATTCACATATTATTTGCACATAAGCTAAACAAAAACACAGTTAATTATAATGTAATGACTAATTATCCATTTTTTTAATATTTGCTGATAGATCCGTAACGAAGAAGTGATTGATTTATTGCAAAATAAACGTCATCTCTGAGGGACAGTGTAATGTTTTTAATCTGTGCAAACATACACACCACACCGGCTAACCTTTGTATCCTTCGCGAGCCATCATCAGTGCTTTCGATTAATAATAATAATTAATACTATTATGAAAGATTTATAAAATGAACTATTTTGATTTTATATTTAAATTTATATAATAAATGATGCCAACGAATACAAATGCATGACAATAAATGCCACGCATAAGCAAGTTGAAATGGAAACAACTGAACTAACAGAAGAGTTGAACAAAACGGAATTGATATAATATTTGTATATTACATAAATTAGGGAAGTTCAATGTTTAAGATTGTTTTCTTATCAATACAAATCTTTCTACATCTTTTAAAATTGTTTGAAAAAAATATTATCAAAGAGTATTTAGCAATAATTTTGTGTTATTATAATGAGATTGCAGGCATAAAAACTGTGATGAAAATTTATATTTCATTTCAAAGTTTAATTAATCACTCGTGCAGCAATCATTTTGTTTCATTGCACCATTTTGATTTCTGATTTAATGATTTAAGGGTATAAAAGAAGGAAAAAAAAAACAAAGGAAAAACAGAGGAAATTGAACAGAGGAAATTGCACTTTGAGAGGAAAGATAAATGGTCTTCTTAGAGGACTTACAACATTCACGGGGTGGAATAACCGATCGAGCACCGCTCAATTATGGCAAACTGGGAATTTGACAAAGTTGTGTAATAGACTCTGTCATCGAAACGATCGTTGCCCCCCTCCCCCCAGTAGCTTATCTCTCTTCTCGTCATCAACCGCAGTCATTCCTGCCTTCTCGACGACCGACTTTCACCTTCCCCAACCTACGAGAAGCCGGTGCATGAACCAGCACTCAATCGCTCGGACATTGTCAACAATTAACTAATTTATGTAATTCAACAAATACTGCATTTCCTATTTTGTAAACCAAGAATTTTCGAGAATTTTTAAGATCGAAAGTAGCAGATTTGCTCAAAGAACTTACTTCAATATCGTAATCCTCAATCTCGTATGCAACGTTTTCTGCATTCCTTTTTATGGAAATTTAAAAAATTCACAAGTAATTGAAATAAACAGGAAAGCAGAGAGATTTATAAAAAGCTAATATTCTGAGTGTCTCACCTCCTCGGAGGCCAAGGCAAAGCTGGTCTTCATCACTTTGCAAACGTAGTTTAGCGAATGTTACAAAAATCGATATCCTTCCAGAAATTTTGGAATTGTCTATCTTATCGTTTATCAGGATTACAAGATCTGAAAATTATAAATGTCGTTTTGAAATACTGAGCTTATTTCTTTGCCCAAATAACTTTAAAAATTTTCAGAAATTTGAAAAAAAAAACTGATAGTAACTTGAAGTAATAACATTTGAATCCATCAACGCTGTTTAAGAAAAAGCTTAATTAATTCAACCAACTCGAGAAGCATAACTAGTAACTATCATAACTAAGATAATATTATTCCGAATATTGTAATGATGAAGATCATGATAATGGTTCAATTACTACCAGATTCACTCTTATGCAATCAATTGTGCTGAATAATCCAAAAAACAATTCAGATCAAAGTTACTATTTATAAAATGAAAACAGATAAGTAGAATCCGCTTTTTGTAATTTAGCCTCATTCTATCAGAAAGTACAAAAATTCCTGACTTCATCTGAGATAACTTAAGCAGTTCACAAATTAAACACTGCGCGCAATAATATTTCTCAATTGTTTGAGTGAAACTAAAAAATATCAATTTTTAAAACCAATTCTCGCACATTAAAATGTTTTTAGTCATTAATACTCGCATTTTGAACATATTTTAATTTTGATGTTTCTTTAATTCTCACATATTATTATCTTTGGCCTTTGTGCTGACAAATAAATTGTACAGCTTTTATAAAATTAATTACGAAAGGAAATTTTTCCGGGTTTAGTGACTCTGCACACACACACACACACACACACACACACACACACA